TGGCCAAATACCATATTTCCATATCTTTTCCCATAATGCATGATAGATTTTTATGCTTTCTTCTCCTCCCGCTTTAATCAATTCAGCTGGTATCTCATCACATCCAGGTGATTTACCATTTTTCAGGCTCCTTATTGCCCATGAAATTTCATCTAATGAAGGTTCAGGTTCTGCCTCTACTGTTACTGATTCATGTATATCATTCATATCCTCACTGTCATTCATATCATACATTCCGCTGCAGTATTCCTGCCATCTTCCTAGAATTTGTCTAGATAATAAGTAATAGTGAACATTAATTACTACATTGTCAGAAATATGAACTCAAAAGGACTCCCCTAATGAATATATTATCCTGCTGCAAGAAGCCAATGACAGAAAACATGCTGGTAGTAGATGGTTCTATAGAAATGCAGGGAAGGAATCAGCTAAAGGAAAGACTGCACATCATAACCACAATGGTTAGCATATGGAGGATTTAATATATCTTAAGATTGAATAATGATATCATAGATGAATTTAAATATTCCCAAGAATAGAGTACACAGTACTATTATCATAACTGTATGAAAACTATACTTTAAGTCTAACATAAAGTACTTGATATTGATAATCTATACTCCTTCGGTCTGTTATAATTCATATATAAAGCTATGCAGTATGAAATTACCAAAAACAATTGATAAGCATAAATATAAATTACCGAAATAGAAAAACATTCTATACATATATATCAGTTATAACCCTGATGGGTTGTACGCGATATTGTTGATTAAATTAGTACTATATTGACCAAGCCCCTGCTATTGAACCAGCGTTAAGGATGACCAGGGTAGAGAGAGGGGTAGATAGATTCTGAGCAGCCCACTGGGGTCCCGGGTTAAGGCTGGGATCTTTTCACATGGACTTCTGGTAATTTCCCCTGGTCTCTGGGTAGTAAGATCGGACGCCCGTGTGTATTGCTGCGCACGTAAAAAAAATCCCTTACAAAAACCCAGATCTGGGGGTAAAAACCCATTATTGGCAGCCCTGGTTGGAAATCGAAAAGAGTATCCTAACAGCGCTGCCCAGACAAAATTTTTGAGTTAAAAATAGACCCACAGATTTCAGGGTTTCGCCAGTGCTACGGAGTTCGTGCTCTGCGCTGAGATTCTTCGGACTCAGACTTGAGTTAGAAGAAGAACGGAGCACTTATGGGTTACTATCATTTGTGCCATGATGTCAGTCCGTTGTTTATACCTAAACCTATACCAGGAGTCCAGATTTGGTCTGCCAGTTTCTTTTGTACGGTGTTCTTGATTTTTAACCAAACGGGGTTAAAAATCAAGAATCCCATAAGCCTACAAAAGAAACATGTGAGGATAACAGAAGGAGCAGCTGGAGAAGTCAAATGTATTTTAGTATATGCTGAAAATTAAATTTAAGACATCCCACAATGCGATGGTTAGGATTCATAACAAGCGAGTCTGGCATAACATGACCTCTAATTGGGATTTTTTTTTTTTTTTTACTGCTTGAGAATAGGCGTTCAGAATACAATTTGATGACAAAACATTTGACTCCCTCTAAAGAAATGCAACGTTACAGTACACTGTACTGAGTACAGAAATGAGGAGGAGTTAGGATTTGTGAGTTGCCGCTCAAACTTTTACGGCAATCGGGCCGTCCCTTAGATGCTCTGCTCCTGTGGCAGCGAAAACCATACGCAATTCCTAATTCCTGTGTTAAAATTCAGACAGCAGTGCCTGCAAATTCCAATAGTTCGCACTTGACTAAAATGCCTAAGGCGGCCTCCAGATGTGTTAATGTCAAGCACAGCAGTCTCAACAGAGTTGCTTTATTGTATAAAGCATGCTGCCAATTCTGTGATAATCAGCCACCTGTCACATTATGAAAATGCAATTCACGACACAAATCATGGGGCGGAGGAGGGAGAGCATAGACTAGAAGCATTCAACATAAAATCGACAGCACACAGTGTCGTACCGCGCTCTCAGTAGCTGATCGACGGGGCCAGGTGTCGCCTTTACATGTAACATGCTCTCTCTCTCTCTCTCTCTCTCTCTCTCTCTCTCTCTCTCTCTCTCTCTCTCTCATATATATATATATATATATCTCCGGGTGTCTTCTTTACTACACAGAAGTAACAACGATTGGAACAAAGCCTGCTGCAAAACTGTGGGGAAAACATAGTAGTGCTCTCCCTAATCTTATGTTAAAAGCCGCCACGGTGCAGCGGCTACATGCTTGCCGTTAGATCCATATTCGTCAGAACCTGGGAGCTCAGGTAATTTGGGCGAACTAACAAAAGGGGGAACCGAGCGCAACCCCCCCCCCCCCCCCCCCAATAATAAACTCTCTGTTGAAAGCAGCTTATATTAAACACAAATGCAGCCATTTCACCTGACTTCAGACCAAAATATATAGGAAAACCAGCCCATCTCAACGATACTGTCTTCATATTTTCCTTCACTAAGAATAATAATAAAGTAATGCTTCATGTTACGGCATGTGTTTGCTATCAGGGATTTCCAGGCTAAACATAACAAAGCCGGTTTGGGATCCCGTCCTGAAAGCTTGTCTGAGGGGATGGCCGGAAAATGCGTTGTTCACATAGGAACCTAGTTCAGGTACGTCGACACCCCCCCCCCTTTTTTTTCCCCAACCAGTTTTGATTTCGTACGAAGACTACGAGACCCCTGTAATCATGCATAGAAATTATGATGTATTGAATGCAAATAAATATAATGATATACTTGAAATAATATGAAATCTAGGAAGAAATATTTTAACAGATAATTTCTATGCATGCATCTTAGCCCCCTTGAAAAATTATTGGGTTGTAAGGAGCGCTTAGCACCCCCCCCCCCCCCCCCCCTCCTTTTTTTACTTGTTGGGCGGAAAAAAGGGGAGGGGGGGGGCAGGCACTCAAAGATCTAAGTTTCGATCCACCACTCAATTATTTGCCTACATAATGTGTACAGGGGTGAGGAGCACTCTGTTTAGGGAATGCCGATGTGTTCTTACCTAACTGTGGGGTGGAGCTTAATGGGACTGAGCTCCCACCCAGTTTTTGCCTAGGTGGTGAGAAGGAAATGACTGAAGGTGGGGCACGGCCATCCCTAGCGCCCCCTCCCCCCTCTTCCTTCCTTACAAACTTCTTAATCGATCAGTTTTTACTTGGAAAATGTGCAAGGCGAGGAAAGGGGTTGAGGCCCAACCTCCCCCCCCCCCCCCCCCAGTGTTAACTTTGTGGCGGCGCGCCTGAGCAGGTCTGAGTCGGAACGGACAATTCAAAAATGATTTGGCTCCCAGGCCGGCTCAACCTTCAGTGGGTACCAGGGGAAGTCGTGAAGTCGTGGGAAGTAGTGATGGCTTCAAGATACGACAGTTAAGTGATTTTATGTATTCTTATGATTTTGTTTGTCTGTAGCCGCAGTGTTAACTTTCCGTTTGTGTTCGTCACTTTGTGAAGTTCGCCGATCTACGAACATTTACCTGAAATTTACCCAGCTTCCCTAATGGTTCTTTTCAAATTAGGGAACCTTTTACTTGCGAATCCCGCAACGTAATTTATGCAATTATCTGCAAACGATGCAGCATGGCATACATTGGGGAGATTGGCAGGAAGCTAGCTGATCGTTTCCGGGAACACCTCTCTGATATCGACAAGAAGACACTCAAACCAATCACTCTTCATTTTGATAGCCCTGACCACAGCGGTAAAGATGACATATCTGTCACAGCATTAAAATCTTGCTCTGGCGATCATACTACCCGCCTCGCTTTGGAAAATCACCTTATCCACAGCCTTGGCGTTCTTAGTCCGAGAGGTATCAATATCCAACATACCTTCATCTAAATAGTTCTAATCTTATCACATTTTAAATGTTAATTATTTTATTTTATTTCATATTATTACCATATTCTATTTCTTATCAATATCATTTATGTATCATTAACACTTGCATTTCTTTTATTCCCAGTATTGTGACTATATTTTTTAGCCATCGTTTATTTTATTTTATTTCATTTATTCCGCATCACATTTTTTTAAACGTCGCTCACGTCACCCCTTAGAGATCTACATACTCTCCGTTCCTCGTTTGTGTATTCCACTTGTGTTTGAAAAAGGCTGCCTGGCCGAAACGTTACGTTGTGTTGTTTTGTGCACGTTTTCCTCTTTCCCATTTTGTTGAGCTTTTTAGTCAAATTTCTCTGGAATTCAATGAACGTTTACCTGGCACATCCTGTATGTGAAAATAATAAACGGGTTTCATTAACGAAAAACGAAAAAGTTTGATTTAATTTGGGGAAAAATAACAGAAATTAGAAGTTTTTCGTTTTTTTTACCAACACCAGGTACCAGTTACCAGAAATTAGTTGATTGCAGTCTTAGTACAGTACCTGGAAACTTAACACTGATTAACACAGTACATTTGATTATTATTAATAATAATATCCTGGGGCAAACTGTCACAGTTCAGGACTTACAGTTATGATTATGATGTAGAGGCATCACAGAGCTTACTTACTGATTATTATATTTATATGACATGAAATGACAAACAATGCAGCAAATTCATCAAAATTAAGTGTTTAATGTTGCTTTTGCTGGCCTTCTGCTTCATTTCCATCGACTGTTTGGATTTTTACATTTTGAGAAGTAAAATTTTTTATTTAATTCGACTTCCTGGCTGTCACTTTCAATTTCTTTTCCTCAGTTTGATTTTGCAATAACGTTCTTCTACAGAATTTTAGTGAAACGCTATACTACTACTCATCGCTAATAATAATAATTAATAACCTCTCTCTAGTAACTTGTGAAGGCAGTGAGTGAGGAGCTTATAAATCTTTGATTTGACAAGGAAAGTAATAAGTATGGTGATGTGTTAGGTACCAAAATAGTTAAAGGAGTTTTAAATATATAATTTGTTTCTGTTGATGATTTATTTTAGGCCTGATGCTAAAAAATTAGGACATCAATAGAACAACACAGGATGTCTTACGAAGTCAATGACTTGTTCATTTTTAACTCTAGTACCAGACAACAGAGCAGTGAACGGGTAGGTGCCAGACAACATTTTTCTTCTTCTTCTTTTTATTCTTCATCTTTTTTCTTCTTCTTCTTCTTCTTCTTCTTCTTCTTCTTCTTCTTCTTCTTCTTCTTCTTCTTCTTCTTCTTCTTCTTCTTCTTGTTCTTCTCCTTCTTGTTCTTCTCCTTCATTCTTCTTCTTCTTCTTCCTTGTGATCTGTCTCATGTGCTCAAGTTATCAATTGTGTTGCCTTCATGAACTGGCACATCAGCAGCAAGTCTCCAAGGTTTCCCAGAGTTTGTCTTGGATGCCTTTTCCCTCTGGCCATCTGTTGTCTCACAAGTTTTTCTCTGGAGGGCAGTTCTACAGTATGTGCTCAGGTGCTTGGAGTGTCGTTTGGCAGGGACACTGGGCAGATTGTGCAGCCTTAAACAGTATTTGAACTCAGTGATTTCTGTCCTTATCCCTCATTGGAGCTTAGTCTTCAGCCAACTCATGTCAAGCACATCGATTTTTCTGAGAGGATCATGTGCTGGCTCCATTTCCTCATCTTTCCCTCTGTCCTTTTCTACATTGCCAGCTGAGTATGATGGGATAAGGAGATGATGAGGAAACGGAACCGGCATAAGTGCAACAAAGCCTGACATATATGACAACATCTAGTTTGAAAATAGATGCGGATGCAGTCACTGTTACTTTTCACTGTCTTGAGAACCAGCTGCACACACACACACACATGATTGCACCTGACTGACAGAGCATGTTGAGAAAAGTGGAGACAGGTATGCTCTGTGCAGGGAGGCAAGCATTGCTTCAGAGGTCCCAGGTAGTTAGCGTCCTTTTGATATTTTCTCCAGGTATGCCAGTGTGTTGGGAAATAAACAAGCAGATATATTAGCTGGTTCTGAACCACTTGATGGTAAATTGATGCATGACAAATTGGATCTTATAAAAGCTCTTTTGTAATGAGTAAACAGTGATCTTCACAAACTCTGTTTTGTCTGTCATGAGTGATTTAGCATCTGGCCGTGCCAGTAAAAAAAAATTTTAAAAAATCCTTTTGTGATCTGTTGTCCATCTGCTACTTTCATAGATGGTCTTCAAAATAGCTCTATTGTCCCTCATGGGTTGACTAGCTACTTTTACTCCCTATAATAAAGCTCTTCTTGTGATCTGTTGTTCATCAGCTACGTTCATAGTCTTCAAAAAAATCTAATTTGTCTATCTACTACATTCATAGATGGTCTTCAAAATATCCCTCTTGTGTTCTTCTTCTGCCTTTCTATCCCCCCAATGGAGCATAGGCCCTCAACCAACTCACGCCAAGTTGTTTTATCCTTCACTATTTCATGGAGCTCTCTCCATGTCCTCCCTTATCTTTCTAACTTCATTCTCCAGCTCTCTTCTTCGTGTGTTTTTTGGCCTTCTTATTATTCCTATGCCCCTGTGGGTTCAAATGCAAAGACATTCTAGTTATGCCCTTCTCTGGTTTTCTCAATGTGTGTCCTATCCAACACCAGCGTCTTTTCCTCACCTCTTCGTCCACTGGAGCTTGCTTAGTTCTCTCCCAAAGCTCTACATTAGTTATTCTATCATACTATTTAATTCCCTCTATTCTGCGCAGGCACCAGTTAATGAATGTGTAATTTATTAGTAATTACTTTTCATGTTTCCACCCCCTTGTCCGTCATGATTAATCTCACTTTTAGCAGCCCCAGTAACAAAACTGCTCTTGTGATTTGTTGTCCATTGGTTACGCTCACAGTTTTCAAAAAATCTCCTTTGTCCATCTACTACATTCATAGATGGTCTTCAAAATATCCCTCTTGTCTGTCATGAGTAATCTTGCTTTTAGTAATCCCAGTAACAAATTTGCTCTTGTGATCTGTCTGCTAGCTAACCCCACACAAGCTGACCATTATGGCTCTAGTCTACCACTACCAACAGCTGTGTGCCCTGCAAGACAAGATGGATGACACCAGCCCTGACCCAGATCGTCTTCTCACTGAGAAGGAGAAGAGAGTCTTCATGGTGACACTGCTAAATCTTCTTCAGGTTAGTAAAACAGTCAGAGAATCACAAAACATGTGAAACCTAGAATCACAAAAGAAATGAAACACAGAATCACAAAATAAGTGAAACACAGAATCGCAAAACAGGTGAAACAGAATCACAAAACAGGTGAAAAACAGAATCACAAAACAGGTGAAACACTTAATCACAAAACAGGTGAAACATAGAATCACAAAACAGGTGAAACACAGAATCACAAAATATGTAAAACACAGAATCACAGAAAGGTGAAACATAGAACTGTAAAACAGGTGAACACATAATCACAAAACCCACACAACAGATGAAGCTGTGAGTGCTGTTATTTGGTACTTCCTCTCCCCATGTGGGTTGCGGGACCCCATTTTTGGACAAAAAGAGAATAGACCCTCTGCCCCCACCCCCCACAACAAGCATGTCATAGGAGATGACTAATTAGGGGTGTTTGCTTCAAAGTCAGAACACTTCTGTTAAGGATCATGCCGTCAGCATTTAGCAACCTTTCAGATTGCCTGTGTTCTGTGATTGTCTTGCTAAAAGCAGCGGATACCCCAGAGGTGTTCACTTACCCTGGCGGATGCTGGATCCCATCTTGATCGGGCCACAAGGCAGTGTGTTGACCATTGGTGTCACATGGAGAGATTTTGCCTTTACAAAGTTTTGAGAGACAGGCTGTCATTTCTCAAAACTCTCCTGAACTTGTAGAGGACAGTATGCAGTTTAATTAATTAGGTAATTAGTCAAACCATATGTGACAGCTAATTTGGCAATTATACAGATCATAAGGGATATAATTAATTAAAAAGCTCTCCAATGTGAGTTGCCCAAATGATAGTTTTAACCCATTGTGACCAACATTATTTCTCTTTATTTGCAGAGTCCAGACATGGATCTGAAGACACTGAGACTACAAATCGATCATGTGCTCAAACCAGCAATTCTTGAGGCTGTTTATGAATTGTAAGTAAAGTCAGATAACTCTCTTGGCACACTATTAACTCCTGTAAGTAAAGAGAGATAACTCTCTTGGCACACTATTAACTCCTGTAAGTAAAGAGAGATAACTCTCTTGGCACATCATTAACTCCTGTAAGTAAAGAGAGATAACTCTCTTGGCACACTATTAACTCTTGTAAGTAAAGATAGTTTACTCTCATCTCACACCATTAACTCTTGTGAGAAAAGACAGGTAACTCTGTTGGCACACCCTTAACTCCTATAAGTAAAGAGAGGTAACTCTGTTGGCACACCGTTGACTCTAGTAAGTAAAGGCAGCTAACTCTCTTGGCACACTATTACCTCTTGTGAGTAAAGTCGGGTAATTCTCTCTGCACACAATTAACTCTTGTAAGTAACGTCAGGTAAATCTCTAGGAACACCATTAACTCTTGTAAGTAGAGTCAGGTAATTCTCTGGACACACCATTACCTTTTAAAGGCCCGAGCATCGCCCAATTTTCCCAAACAACACTGTCAGCGTCGATCTTGTGCCCCATGGAAATTGATTTGCAAACGACTCTATAGCGTTTCCAATGTTCGGAACTACCATTAGAGTATTCAGGGAAGGTTTTCTAACATTTTTCTGTGTATATGGTCTTCATTTGCACACATGTGAGCGCAAATTGATCCAATTAATTCATAGTGTCATTTTTCAGACAGTGGATTTTTTAATGTTCAACTGGCCATGTTCCAAACACAGTCACAGGCTGAAAAATTCGCTTTTCTGTGGCTGAAGTTTAATAAAGTTGTTTTCTAATCGTGATAACGATTGCAAATTTTTCAGAAAGGGATTTTGACTGAATTTACACCAGCAGCAGCTGAGCAGTCAGCTGTTTGTTCTGATTAGGTAAATCCAGAAGGAATCTTTTCATTTGCGAAGGATGTGGTTATCACCCACATTTACATCCGAAGGACTGTTTAGACAGTATCATACTCATTCTAGGGTTAAGCTGCATTGAAATTATTGCAGCTACAATCTGTATATAAACTATAAAGTCAATATTTTGTATGTATAGGACTGTAGGTCTAATTTTCTGCCAATTTGTTTTCTTTGAAATTTTGTTCAGCATCTGTGAGAACCTAGAGCCTCTAAGTAATAGACTAACCCAGAAACATCTCATAACTTTTGAATTTGTTAGGAAATTGAACAAACTTTAAAGTTTGATTGTCAAATGTGGATAGTTTCTGCTCTTGTGGCGGCAAAACCATAGTAAGTGGACAATTTTGGGGGGAGTAAGTGGAAAATTTTTGGGGGAAAATTGTGTCTATGTAAACATAACACTTGGCTGAATTCCTTTTTCCTAGCAATTAAAACAGTATTAAAAATATGTCATTGGATTCAAAATGTACATTCATTCATCTTTAAAAAATGTATACTTTTGTAAGGATTAGAAATATATTCTTAAGTGCCATTTCTTTAACACCACCCCTCTGCCATTTTTGTAAGGGAAATTAATGTGAATGCCTGTCAAAATTCATAGGCCTTGTAAGTAAACACAGCTAACTCCGTTGGCACACCATTAACTCTTTGAAATCTCTACTAGTGATCTTTCCAGTCGTCACAACATTTTCCAGTGCTCCTTTTCTCATCACATGACCAAAGAACTTTGTTTGTCTCCTTGTCATTGTTGTATATAATGTTCTACTTTCATTAGCTATTTCCAGGCATTCAGTGTTGGTTTTTTTTTTGGCATTCCAAGGTATTCTCAGCATTCTTCTCAAGAACTACATCATGATTCTTTGGGTGCTGGCTGAAAAGAGCCTGGTGCATACATGATGTTACCTGTGTCTACTGTAAAAGTGTGTATTTTCAAAACTAGACAACTGCAGTAAATTGATTTGAAACATATATCACAACTTCTTATAATCTATGCTTTTTGGTGTTGGTAGTCATGTCTATCCACAGCCTCTTTTACTTTCAGTATTTTCTAAGGAAGATTTTCGTTTTCTTTGTCTTCATTTTCTTTACGTCCTCTTTTACCACTTCAGGTGTCGAGGGAGATATAAGGTCCTGCATCATGATATTCTGGCTGCTTCGACCATAGACACATCGTAGTGCAGTAGAGTTTCTCTGATGTTATCTTCCCATCTTGTTCTTGGTCTACCTCTTGCTCTACGTCCCTCTCCTCATTTGGTATATGCCTTGTATGGTATAGCATCAGAAGGCTTTCTCTTCAAGTGAGCAAACGATTTAATTTGCTGTGTTTGTATCTAATTTAAAATTCGTTCTGTGCCGACTTTTATCTCGTATGACCCCATTCTTTTCAATCGGATGTCAGTTTCTTCAGTCAGTTGCTTCATCAAATTCACCATCTTCAATAAATGTTGTTCCAAGTTATTTAAACTCAGATACCTGTTTAATATATGTTTTATATCTCATTGTATTTGTTTTAAGCAGTAGTAAATCCATTGCCGACTTGCTAGGCCTGCACAACTTCACCAGAGCCAGGCTGGCCAGGAGGTTTAGGGGTGACCCAGGATGGCCTTCATGGCTACCGTAGCGGTCCCGTGGCACGAGGCCACACCATATTTTTCCCAGTCCTAGCAAACCCCTACTCTGTCCTATTACCATCACTCCCGAGAGAGGGACATGGGATTGGACTTTAAGAGGTTTTTTCTCTTTCACTGACTGCAAACTCCAGCAGAAAGTTCTGGTTGTTCACTCACTTCTGGACTTTGATCTTATTCCAGAACTTGAGTTTTGCATGCATGTCTGTATTACAGATCTGGCTTATTTATGTGCAAACTGTTGGTTCCTCACCTCTTAGACAGACGCACTCCGACTTCGAAGAAAACACCCTTAGTTAGTCACCTTTTACAACATGCGTGATAGGGAGGCATTGGGCCTCTTCTTTCTTCCCATAAAACAGAGCCCCAAACTCACACATTGTGATCTGACACCGATGATCCTCCATGTCATGACTTCAAACTGTCCAGCATCTTCTGTCTTGATCTCCCTCTGTCTCTTTTCCTCTCCAACTGTCCTGCTGTCTCAAAGCTTAGCACTATCATTATAAAAATAACGATTGTTATTGAATTTATGAAGCAAGCATTTCTTCATTGTTTACCTGGAATAAAAATGTGTCTCTTGTAACGATATAGGTTACAGACCATCTCTGAAGACAGTGTGATGCCCATTAATGACTTCTTTGATAATGTCAGCACACTTTTAACCTCATCTGACAAGGATGCTGTCATCAGACGTGAAAGCATTATGGGTATGTTCTAGTTTCACAGTTTATGTATCAAATACCATCTAGATTCTAGAACAAAACAGAAGCTTCAGTAGCGTAGGGAGCTGCCAGGGTGTAATGGCTAGACGCTAGCCCGCCGATCGAAAGGTCGTGAGTTCAGGTCCAGACTGAGCCAGACTTTTCTTGGAAATTGACCTTTGCTCCCAGTGGGTACCATCCTGGGAAGTAAAGGCGGGCGGCGTGATGTTGACTACATCACCCACCAAGTGCCGATTGGTCTGTAAAATGTAGCTCTAGCTCTATATGCCCAATACGCCTCAAGGCATGGAAAAGGATTTTTTAATAGCAAGACGGCTAGATGCAAACAGCGGAGAATGGAGAGGGAGAAGCAACAATAAAATTCATAATCTTCTTCTAATAACCATTGATAACTGGCATCATGAGATAGAAAGTTTTGGTTGGTCATCCACTTCTCGAACTGAGTCTCGTTACAGACCTTTGAGTTTTGCATGAACATATGATTTTACAGATCTGGCTTATCTGTATGCAGACTGTTGGTTTCTCACCTGTTAGCAGAGGCACTCCAACTTCCGAACCTACACAGTGATATATTGCTTGATGCAACAGCTGATTCAATTAGGCTCTTTAGTAGAACAGTCTGTACTGCAGTGGATTCCAGGTCACTGTGGCTTGGAAGGCAATGAAACAGCAGACAGATTAGCCAGAAGCGGCAGTGACATGATACAGCCAAATAGTGACTTAACCCACCAAAAGACTAAGACATTAATACAATCTAGTATCCAAGAAATGTGGCTGGATACAGAGACAAAATTCTCTCATCAAGACTCGCTTCATTGCCTTTCTAGAGAGGAACAGTGTATTATATTCAGACTAAGGACAGGGCACGACAGACTTTGTCAACATATGTTCAAACTTTTAAGTGTGTCGGAGATACAGAAACATGCCCCTGTACCTTGGCACCAGAAAATGCTGAGTATGTGCTCCAACACTGTCAACTGTATGCTGACAACAGAGACGTAATCTGGCCTGTTCCGAGCACAATGAAGTCAAAACTTAATGGTACACGAGAGAATATGGGCTGCACGATAACTTTCATAAAAGCTACCGGCCTCCTGAAATAAGTTTTCTGACAGAAGGATAGAAGAAGAAGAAGAAGAATATTAGAATTTATATTGAGTTGAGTCAAGAATTCACATCACAGCACTCGGGGCATTCCCATGCATGCTCCGTCCTCATCTTCAGCAGCCAGCGCAGAGTTCCAATACTGATGGTACCGGTCACAATCTGGTTAAATGTCCATCTTGCCTTTCCTATGAGTGTAGTCAGCAGGCCAGACCCTCTGGTTACACCCAGGTGCCTCATTCTCTCCAGGCCATAATAATCTTGTTTCTCTACTGATTCCGGTTACTTGTTCCCAAAGGGCCTTGACCACATCTGCCTTGTTATAATTTATATTATAATATAATATTCACACACAATATTCTTACATGAGATTGTTAATAAACTTGATGAGCTGTACCACAAGACATGGACTGTAAGAAGAAGAAATTGATATTTGCCATGACTTTCAAGGAAATCTGGAGCCACAACAGCGTTGCTGCTAGATCTCGAAGGTTTGAGGTTTAAATCCACATCTTGTCAGATTTTTTTTTTAAATGATCTTAGCCCCCATTTTGGCCCAGCCTAAAATATATACCAAGTAAAGTCCTGGGAAGTCAAAGCAGCTTTAAAAAAATTATTTGAGACTTAATTAGCATTTTATGTTGAAAAGACGCATGATTTATCTTGTGGGTAATTCTTTTCTTTTTTTCCCTAGGTATTTACATCAGACGAATGGAGCTTGCCTACAATGAAATGTCATTTAGCCAAATTGTGGATATGTTTGTAAGTAACTTGATTTGTTGTTCATCCTTTTATATCCTTTATAGGATATTTTAGAACCAACCCCTGCATTTTTTGTTGTTGTTGTTGTTGTTGTTGGTGGCTGTTCTGGATTCACTAGGCAAGTTTACATTTATTAGTTTGTCATTGCTTTCTGAGCTGTTGATGCTACATACCGATGCTGAAATCAACACAAAGTAGGGAAAACAACAAAGTTTAGACATTCTAGTTGCAAATCAGTACTTATTTCTTTATGTTTCTGTTAGCCTTCTTTTCTCTTTAATGTTTTTTTTTTAAACTGATTTGTTTGCTTCTTCGAGTATTTGTCTGTTTATGCTATATTTATTAGTTTTTTCTTTAATTGATTGTTCTGCCTTTTAAAAAATATTTTCTTATTTCTTAATTGTTTTGTTCTGCTCATTCCTTTATTTGTCTGATTATTGATTTATTTGTCTATTGATTTATTTGTCTGATTATTGATTTATTTGTCTGATTATGGATTTATTTGTCTTCTATTTTCATGTCACAACAATTGCCATCAGAACAAGATCAGGCTGTACTATCGAGCAGGATTTCCAGAACGTAGAGAACATTCCGGGCACTCATCCTGGAGGAAACCTCACACACTTGGGATCTCAGAGGCTGCTTTGAGCATGTCTCAGCTGGAAGATAACTCAGCAGTGGAATCTCTCAGCAAGCAGTGAGTCCCTTTGCTTTCAGTTTTTTTCCCTTAGATCTTCAGACTCACTCATGCACCGGACATTGCAGATTCAACAAACACTCATATTTTGCTTTCAATTTTTTTCTCAGATCTTCAGACTCACTCATGCACCGGACATTGCAGATTCAACAAACACTCATATTTTGCTTTCAATTTTTTTTCTCAGATCTTCAGTCTCACTTATGCACTGGACATTGCAGATTATACTCATATAAATGTGGTATGAGCCAAACAGCTCTCTGCCGGTGTCTTTGGCTGGACAGACTCCAGAACGTTTTCTACAAGACTTTCCTCTCTTGGAGAAGCTGCAAAGCAGCATGTGGCCACACCCAGCTGACCTGACAACTAAGCTTTATGGAAACCTGAGGGACCTCGAGTCGAACATTCAGTTTTATGGTCCATAGTGGATTAAGGGCATGAAAGAGGGAAAATAAGACTCAGCACAGGACATAAGTCATCTGATACCATCTGTTTAACTCTTTTGGTCCTTGAAGATCATAGCTGATGCCTGATTGAAACAGTAAAGATAACAACAAAAGATATACAGCATCCACACGGTCCAGATACACAGCACATTGTGGGTGACTTGGGTTGCTGGATTGATTTACTTTGGCTGACTAAACTTAAATTAAGGTGTAAGTAAAGTAAAGTAAAGATCCCTTTTCACGCCTTTCGGCGCATCGGGCATATGGGCAGAGCGTCCCATATTTTTACAGACCAATCGGCACTCGGTGGATAATGTGGTCAGCATTACGCCGGCCATCTTTACTTCCCCAGTGCAGCCATCCTGGTACCCATTTGAGGCTGGGTCTACCTGCGACTTGGTGTACAAATATATCAAACATGTTGACTGGTGACCTGGGTAATAGCCAGTAGACTTTGTGCCTTGTTTGGAACTGAAAGTAATAATAATCTGAAGATATGAGATACTGACAAATGCAGATGTGGAATTGGTAAGGTGACAGTTAAATATTTGTTGCAAAAATTTCCAGCTTATTCAAAACAGAAAATTATTGGGGCATAAACTGTTGCATTCGAGCATAGTAGTTTCCCCTTACCTTCCACATTCTTGTAAGAAGGGATTTACATGTTATGAATGATTGTGCGGATGGAACCTCTTATTGGTTCATTGGACAAGAAGGCGTTTACCAGCAGGTTGTGTGAAGAGCTTCGAGCAAGGCAGAGCACCTAAGACGCCTTGATCGTCCACTGTACCTAGATCCATTTCCAGTCGACATTGTCCTGCCATTGGGTCAAGATGGACACAGGCGAGAGAGTGAGGTCGACAAATTGCACAACTCTTCCTCCCTTAAATCCAAGTCCTTGCTCAAGTCACTTTCATCCAGCTATGACTACTTTTAATGAAACAGTCTTCATCACTCATGATGGACGAACAACACATGTTATAAATATTCTGTTATGCGCATTGTTTTTTTGTTTGTTTTTTCAATTTGTGGGCAAGTCAGTTCCCAATGTAAGTTCCGGAGCCTCATTTTGGGGGTTAAAAAAAAAGAGAATCACAACCCTCCTAACAAGCATGTTAGTTCATGGGAAGGTTTATTTGGTGAAAAAAATGCCCAATGAAGTTGGCCACAATTCATAAATATCCCAGTTATGCTGTAAACAGGCATGGCACAAATTCCATCACTCAGAGAATAAGCAATACGCCAGTTCTGTAAAAGGGATTCATTATGCAAAACTCAAGTTTTGGAACAACACTTAAGTCCAGAAGTGACCAAACAACCAAAACTTTCTGCTGGAGTTTGCAGGTGGTGAATACTAAGAGTGAGAAGTAGCCAGTTCCATGTAACAAATGCAATAATTTTTCTTAAGCTTCCACAAACAAGCCATTCTGTGAGAAATTCAAACTGCTTTTTTTTTCACAGAAGCTTATTTTCGAGAAAACAGGCCGAATATTTCATCGCCCATCAGGCACTGATGCTGGGCCACAATGAGGGGAAGGCACTGCCACCCGATCAACTACAGCAGAAAATCTGTGACATCCTGGCAGCGAATCCTGACCTGGCAGAGGCAGTGAGTGTCTTATTTACAACATGACATGCCGTATTTTTCCATGTAAAAGGCATGATGTTTTCCCACATGCATACTATGTGAATGACATTAACATGTATTTGTAGCAGCTTGGCTTCCTGTAGAATCCTTCCAAAGTAACAGGCTCCATCTACTTGTGGTTTAGTTTTCCTTCCTAGCTATTTTGCTGTGGCATCTGCCTTGTAGTCTACTCATTCAATTTATAACTGTTGTAGGATTTTGTCATATTTGCAAATATGGCTTTCTGAATGCTATGTATGTGATCCTCTACAGAGGGACGTCTGATATGAAGATTTTTATTTTAATGGTTCTTGCAAAAACTTTGGCTTTAGGGAAACAATGGATCACTAGCGGCATCCCAGTTTATTGCCTTTAGTAGATGAATCTACCATCAGAAATGGAACTCTTCGCTTGCTGCTTATGGCGGTGTCCCGAGTGCTATGATGTCAATTCATAACTCAACATTTAGTAGATTAACTACATACTTTGATCATCTTATGAGAAGGAGAAAACAAATACATTGTGACAGTGGAAAAGCTGGAGGGGAAAAGACGCAGAGGTAGTCAGAGAGAGAAGGTGCTGGATGGTTTTATATCATAGCATGGAAGATTGTCTGTGTTAGAATTCATTAAGAATACACAAGACGGAAGGTTGTGGATAGACATGACTACCAATGCCACACAAAATGCATTATAACAAAAAGAAGAAGTAATTGATTAAGTGCATGACCAGAGATTGCTGAAGCAGAAATCTAGGATCTTCTCTTGCTGCCTTCTCCTCTCTCTCTCTTCTTCATTAACTGAACAGGTGTGTAACATCACGCATTCAAAACTTTAAAATCACATGTTCAGATTGTAACATAAAAGTGTTTTTGTTTTATAGTATTTCCTCAGCTACATGAACAACCTGAGACTGAAGGAGTATTGTACCGCCTTACATAACCTCTACCACTACTTTGATAGAAAAGCATGTGCACACAGCGATGGCAGCAACTCCAATAAGAAAAAGGCAGCTTCAGACGAGGTGGCTATGAGATATGCTGCTCTAAATCTGGCCTCACTCCAGTTTCGATTTGGAAATAAGTACGTCTGGCCTGACTTCTTTTTTCAGTTTCTAGATAAGTGTTTTCTTACGCAGGTTTTCGGGATCCTGTTGTAAGGAACAAAAGAATAGAGCTACTGTCTCCTAACAAACATGTCATAAAAGTCGACTAATTATGGATGTTTCCTTCGAATTCGAGAGTGCATCTGCCTGAGAGGCGAGGAAGCAACAGTCGGCACAAATATAAGCCAGATCTTTAAAATGGATATGGTGAAACACTAAGTCCTGAAACAAGGCCAAAGTCCAGAAGTGGGCGAACAACTTAGAATTTCTTCTGGTGTTTACAGCTCTTTAAGAATTGTCGTTTGTAAACATCTGCAGCTTGCTTGCATGGATGTGCATTTTATGTGAGAACTGGTACATGTTGTATTTAGGCTTGCTTTCACTGTACCGTGCTATGAAGCTTTCGGGGTTCTCTGTGAACAGGTGGTTAAGTTATTTGCTTTGTTCTCTGACTGTTAGTTCTCTTCCATGCCTATTTGCACATGAGGCTTTAGAGAGGATTTTCCATGTCTTCCTGTCCTGTGCAATCTTCAGTGCAGTTTTCCATGTATAAGATGCAGCACTCAGGTCACTTTCTATCGTTTGTCTCCAAGTTGTTTTTAGGGCACTCCTTCTTTCTCTTTCCCTCTGGTGTCAAAGTGAGAGCTGTTTTGTTCTCTGACTGTGGTTCCTCATTTCACCGACTGTGCCGATTTACTCACAGGTGTAGTTTTTGAGTAAATCCCTATAGAATAGAACTAGAGCATGGTGGTTTATGCCGTCATGACACGGTTAATGGGTGGCTAACCATTCTTAGAGAGACAGCCCTGTGGAATAAGCCGGGTGCGGTGAAGTAAATCCTCCCAACTTTAAACCTAACCTTTTGTGTATGAAGCTTCATTTGCCTTGTTGAAGTCAAATTAAGGTTACTGGTTTGGCTTCCTTGTTAAATGGGGATCTTATACAGCTTCTGGCTTCCTTGTTAAATGGGGATCTTATACAGCTAACTTATACAGCTTCTGGCTTCCTTGTTAAAATGGGGATCTTATATTCTGGCTTCCTTGTTAAATGGGGATCTTATACAGCTTCTGGCCCTTGTTAAATGGGGATCAAATTCTGGCTTCCTTGTTAAATGGGGATCTTATACAGCTTCTGGCTTCCTTGTTAAATGGGGATCTTATACAGCTTCTGGCTTCCTTGTTAAATGGGGATCTTATACAGCTTCTGGCTTCCTTGTTAAATGGGGATCTTATACAGCTTCTGGCTTCCTTGTTAAATGGGGATCTTATTTCTGGCATTGAAAAATGGGGATCTTATATAGCTTCTGGCTTCCAAATGGGGATTATGTTCTGGCCTGGAATTCAGAAAAATAATCATATTTACACCAACATTATGTTCCCTGTAGAATAAAGATACAACAGTTGTCCGTTTTGTTGTTGTTGTTTTGTTTTTTTTTTCAAATTCTTCTGTCCAGAATTTTTCTTAACCTTTTATACTTATGTAATATGTGCTGTATATCTACAAACATGATCCAGAAAGAAATGAAAACATACTGTGTCAGTGACAGAGAAACCTAACAGATGCAGAAAGTTGAAAGGAAATATATACGTATGTATGGCTTGTATACTTTCTATACTGTCTGTGTACATATATGTGTGTAACATCTTAATTGATTTGCTGCCTGGTAATGATAAAGTAATGTGTCTCTAGGGACGAGTGCAGAGCTGCCCTAAAGGAAGCTATTCGTCTGGCCCAGGAGAGCAACGACCAAGTCTGTTTACAGCATGCACTAGTGAGTTTACATTTGGTTGTCTCTCTGATGGCTGTATTACACATAGTTCAGCATTAGAGTGCTTGGTTGGTAAATCCTCTTAAAGACTGAGTTTGAACCAGTTAGTCTGATGCACAGAACTGGTGGTGCCTTATGCGATTAATTGTGTGTGCAACTACTGATTTGTTGTAATCCGCTGCTACTATCGATGATGAACTGTAGCACTGGACTGTTAGTGTTGGCACTTCTAACAGCTGCTGTGTGTGTATGCTATTAGCTTTGCTGGAACTGCAGCCTTTGTCACGTTTTTTGTTTTTTTTCAAACCAGGAACAGTGATTGTAATAAATAGCATTAGTCTGCCGGTGGTTTTACCATGGCTGCCGGCAGTTTTACCATGGCTGCCGGCAGTTTTACCATGGCTGCCGGCAGTTTTATCATGGCTGCCGGCAGTTTTACCATGTCTGCCGGTGGTTTTACCATGGCTGCCAGCGGTTTTACCATGTCTGCCGGTGGTTTTACCATGGCTGCCAGCGGTTTTACCATGTCTGCTGGCGGTTTTACCATGTCTGCCGGCAGTTTTACCATGTCTGCCAGCGGTTTTACCATGTCTGCCGGTGGTTTTACCATGTCTGTCGGTGGTTTTACCATGTCTGCCAGCGGTTTTACCATGTCTGCCGGCAGTTTTGATTCTTGTGGATGGTCAGTCATTTTTAATCATCATCATCATGTGTACTGCCAACTGGCGTAGGCACTCATGCGTCTCCACAGATCACAATGCCTGGTTAGCTGGAACAGCTCTCTTGATGATATCCCTCCATGCCATTGTTTTAGCCCATCCAGCATCATCTCTCTTGGTCTGCCTCTACCTCTGCCTCATTTTTAATACATATTTTTATTCAATATAATGATGCCAAACTGCCCAGCGTCTTTTCTTGGTCTTTGTCTGCTTCTCGTTCTCTTTAATTTTCCCACCATCTCCATGCGCACTTATTCCACCCCCCAACCACTCCTTTCTCACTGACAAAAATTAGGAAACTTCTTCTTCTGCATTCATCCGAAAATGTAATTGCGTTGTGTCCGTTTACAGCATGGCTGCAATATTTGCACCTTTCGGCCAACACATCCGACTTCTGCCGGCATTTGTTGACCGGGTTAGCCTTCCCGGAATTAGAAAACAATATGCAATGTATATTATCTGAGTCTGTGGCTTAGGCATTGCAAATGTGCTTCATAATTCCGGGGTACTGGGTTTGATCTCAGCTGCAGGAGATTTGACCACCTTGTGTCTCGGTGGTATTGAGAGCTGACCGTTTAGAAGCAGTGGCAAAAATGCTGAACGTAAATTTGACTAGTGAAATCACAAACAGTCAAAAATTGCCGAGGTTGGTACTGCACTGCCCTGTAAAGGATACAAAACTTAACTTTTTTTATATTATCTGAAACTTAACTCTGCAAGAGATGATCTTACATTTAAGTGTGCAAGATAGTATCTTAAACTTAATTACGCAGTATATTACACTTAACAGTGCAATATATTCAACTTAACTATGCAGTTTGTTAGCTTAAACAGACTCTGCAATACATAAACTTCAGTGTGTCTGTACACAATTTTATCTGCTATATAACTGCAAAATATTATCTTGAACTTTACTATGCAATCTTTCTTTGTCAATTGAGATGAGAAAGAGATTTCTCAAATGCTATATGAACCTTATCCTGATGTATGGAAGTCAGTCATGTGTGATTAGTGAACAATATTTGGTAGCTGTAATGAATGCACTTGTGTCTCCTCCACACTTGATCTCTCTAGTGCAGAGTTAACACTGACTCTGTTGTCTAGAGGTTAGGTCACAGCTCAATCTAACCAGACGGCATTTCTCTCCACGGTCACACGACTTCTAACAACGGTTGACACCAGCTGACACATTTCACGAGTTTATTATCACTGTAGCACAAGACACGAATCACAGGAGAATCCACTTACACCATTCGGACAATCTCGACTTGCTCACGCATTAAAGCTCCAGACATGCTTCAGACGATGGACACTGGCATATTCACGGCTGGCTCAACAATCAAACAGTGTAACACAACAGCTGGCCTTCACGATCATTCATTCGACTCTGATTCAGATCCACGTGCTCTCTTCATTCTCAATTCATCTTCACCGATTCAGTTGCACATCCTTCCAGTCTGGGGCCCAGTCACCGAATGCCCACCTGATTCTCAATCCCCCAGATCTCCCCATTCACACGTGACTCACTCTTTCCTGTCGTTTCACCATATCTCCGTGAAACCCATGTTCTCAGGGACTTCCCCAATTATGCCAGTCATCCCCTGACGTTATCCCTATTTATAGCATCATTACAGTAGCAGTAGAGATGTGGTTTCATAGACAAATGACCAGAACACCCTGGATAGATTAAAAGAGTATTGTAGGTGACTTGAAAGAAACTGACTCACAAATAGAACTGATTTCCCACATCAGGAGCAGACAGTCTGCATTCTTTGGCCGTGTCAGCGATTTAAGCATCAGTTCTGGGAAGTTTTTGACGCTGCCAATGTAGTTATCTTTCTTTATTTATAGTTTGTATTTACTTTTGTGTGTGTGAGTGTGTGTGTGGGTGTGGATGGTAAATGTGGATGGTAAGTATGGATGGCTGTTTTCATTTACTTTTCTGTGTGTGGGTGTGGATGGTAAGTGTGGATGGCTGGAGGTCACAAGCCGAGGAGAAGGTGTAATGTGATTTCTTGTACAGGTGTGGCTCAATTTGTTGGGTGACAACCACAAAGGAGTGTCGGAGCTTGAGAGGTCCATCAAGAAGACCATTGATCTGTCTCTTCCAGTAGGTGACCTCAAAATATGTTCTTTACTTATGATGTTACTTTAACTCAGATTTAAAAAAAATACTTTATACAGCATTCATTTATGTTCACACGTTTTAGGTGTAATTATTTTTTTATCTATTTGTCTCATAAATGTTATATGTATTTATGCAAATTATGTACCAGTTTAAAAAATAAAGGAGTGTAGTGATATATTGGAAGAGCGGCTGGCTGAACAGTTAAGAATGCAGGGCTCTCATGCGAGATTTCCGGTTGCCAGTGCTCTGTAAAGTTACAAGGATTTTTTGTATCGGGGGGACAAAAAATAAAATCCTAGCCTTTCCAAGCGACAGCACCTCCGTGCAGCCCTAACTCCTCAGGCTCAAAGACCCCATACCAACTTTGCAAAAAAGTAATAAAAACAGGCAGCTCTTTGCGGTGATATGTTAATTTCTTCTCCCCACTGTCCCCAGAGGAACAAGTCATCCTGTCTTTTGGAATGCATCGCATGTATCTCACCGCATGTCCTCCTCCCCATATTTTTTACCTCATCCTGTACTTTTTCTTTGTGTGTTTCTTAGTTTGCCTCTTTTATTCCTTTGCCCCAGTGGGTTCCAGTGCAGGAACACTAGTTATATTATAACCAGTGATTCAGTTTGGTGATTCTCTATTTGTCTATTCTCAGAATGTCTCCAGTATAGCGCTATCTTCTCTGTCTTACAACTGTTGATACGACTGGTTGCCCAGTCATTTCTCTTATTTCTTCGCTTCTTTTGAATTCATCCCATTTTGATGTTTACTGTTTGTATTCTTTATTGTCAACGTAATATAAAAACCGTCTTAGCGAACCTCATGTAGTGTTTGTAATTATGGATACCAAGAAATGTCATTGCATATGACATTGCTGCTTTGATTTTGATTACCACCCGTTGAGTACTGATTGGTCTAAAAAAACATGGGACCAGAACCATATAGCTGGTTGGTTTTATGGCATGGGAATGAGGTTTTACTTTTGCTTTACTGAAGTCAACTGCTAGGATTTTGTACGGATCTACCTGGGATTGCTAGGATTTTGTATGGATCTATCTGGGATTGCTAGGATTTTGTACGGATCTGTCTGGGATTGCTAGGATTTTGTACGAATCTGTCTGGGAAATACAGGGTCATTGAGAATGAGTGCTGGCTTATTTATCTGCAGACTTTTGGTTTCTTGCCTATCGATGCACTCCGAATTCTAAGGAAACATATCTAAATATTTGTAAGGGAGGTGGTGGGCCTTTCCCCCTTCCCCCTCCCCCAAATGGGGCCTGAGAACTGACACAGGGAAAGGTAAGTCTAAAACTATTAATTTTTTGGAAAATTTTAATGTGCAGCACGTGTATGTTCAATAAATACTTTTTTTTTAACAGTTTACAATCCCTGCAATAATTCTCAATAACCCTGAATTTAAAAAATAGTTGACAGTGTTTTAATGAGATTAGAGATTGAGGTGGACCTGTTACAAATTTAGAGTGTTTGGTGCTCCAGAATCTGACTGTTCTAGACTTGAACTGGATTAGTAAAGATCTCGGCATGGCAGCAGAGACACCAGCCAGGTAGGGTACAGTTTTTTGTTTGTTTGTAGAAGTCCTTTTGTAAAAATATGTTTTTTTTTGTGTGTGTCAGTTTCTTACCCATGTGTGTTCTGGGGCCCCTTTGTGGGGGGGGGGGGGGTTCCTTCATTTTGAGTGCATCTGCTTGAGAGACAAGAAACCAACGGTCTGCATACAGATATTTCAGATCTGTAAAACAGATGTGCACACAACACTCAGGTTCTGGAAAAAGACTTGTCCAGAAGTGGTTGAACAACTAGAACTTTCTGCCAAAGTTTAAAACCGTGAACATGAAGAAGAAAAAGAAGAAGTCTGTGTCTGCTTTGTATCGCTAGGCATCACAGTTTAATATATAATAGGTAGCCGAGCCAGGGCATGCTCAGTTTTGTGACCCACAACACAGCACACTAAGCAGAAGTAGTAGTAGTTCAGAAGTCTGTTCAAATCCATAAAGTTAATGTTCAGCTACCTCACAACAGAGATAAGCCACATCCATGTGCTTTGACTTCTGCTGATGGTAACTAAACTGTTATGGGCTTACCCTGAGTACAGTGATGTTGATTCTTTTTCATAAATCTCTCTCTGTCTGTCTGTCTATTTCCCTCTCTCATCCTCTCTTTTTCCCCACCACTCTCTTTCCCTATCATCTTTTTCTCCTTTATCCCACAATCTCTTTCACTCTCCTCACTCCCTTCTTCCCTCCTACACCCTCTCTTTTTCTTTCTCTCTCTCTCTCTCTCTCTTTCTCTCTCTCTCTTTCTCTCTCTCTCTTTTCTCTCTCCCCTCTCTCTCTTCTCTCTGATTCCCCACTCCTTCATCCCAACCCTTCCCCACCTACCCTACTCTCGACACACATAATCTGTATATACATATACAGAAATATGCATTGTAAATGCTAAAAAGCTAAACTTTTGTAAACTGCTTTTGGAAAAACATAATTAATTTGATGCTTTAAAGATTAACTGTTGGCATCTGTGGCTTAGGCGTTTGCAAGTGAGCTTTATTATGCAGGGATGCCAGGTTCGATCCCACCTGCAGGCCTTGCATTGGTTTCAACAGTGATATCGAGAAGCCTACCATCCAGAAAGCAATAGCAAACTACTGGACGTAAATTTGCCTAGAAAAACCACAACAGCCAAAAAATGCTGGGGTTGGTTCTGCAACATCCTGTAATCGCTACGCAACTAACTTTTAAAAATTAACTTAATGATGTGCCTCGTATTCTGGGATTTGCTCCTGTTTTGATTCTCAGTGTTAATCCCTTTCACTGCAATCGTGGAGGGGAACAGTGACAAACTGTATGGCTTATATATGGGAGGAGTATCAGTCTTCCTGCATGTATGTCCCAGAAACTGCTAACTTGCCAGTTAAAAGCATATCTTATATTGTCCTAATAGTTGTCTGTCTTTTTCCTCACTGTCACCAGTTAACTATATTTCTTCCTTTTCTTCTTCTTCTTCTTACGTGTTCACTGGTGTAAACTCCAGTGGAAAGTTCTGGCTGTTCATTCACCTCTGGACTTCAGTCTTTTTCCAAAACTTGAGTATTGCATGCACATCCGTTTTACAGATCTGACTTATTTATATGCAGATTGTTGGTTCCTTGCTGCTCAGGCAGAAGCACTCCAACTTCAAAGGAAGGCCCCTTTCAGCCAATTAGTCGACTCTTACGACTTGCTTGTTGGGGTGGCATTTGTTCCATTTGAGACTTAGTGAAAAACATGTCAGTCTCTGCAAAATATTGAAGCACATATGCAAAAATCAGTGGAAAAAGAAGCAGAGGCAGACCAAAAGAGATGATGCTGGATGGGCTGAAACGATGGCATCGAGGAAATCATCAAGAGAGCTGTTCCAGGCAACCAGGGATCATGATCTGTGGAGATGCATGAGCGCATGATGATGATGATAATGCAAAGTTAAGGCATAAGGCAGCTGTCAAATGCTTATTTCCCACTGTCACCAGTTAACGATTTGATAGTGACCTACTAATCTGATTTGTTTCTTCTACCCAGGGTCATCTACTACTTCACACAGAGTAACCTCATCAACTGTATGCACTCCAACTACAATATGATGTCTTCCGGCTGCATCCAGCGGGCAGCCATGTGGCACTATTACGGAAAGAGGTTGGTTAACAAACATTGTCATAAACGATGACGAATAAAGGATGGTTCCTTTGATGTCTAAGTGCATCTGCCGCAGAAACGAGGAACCAACAGTCTACATACAAATAAGCCAGATCAGTATAATAAGCTGTGCATGCAAAATGAAACTCTGGAACAAGACCAAAAGTCTAGAAGTGGACAAACAACCAGATACTATTTTTTTTTTGTGTGGGGAGAGGGAGGGGGGGAGTAGACTCCTGGCTGATCTTGTCAAGCCTGTTGTGAAAGGTTTGGAACTTTTGGGCCGAAAGGCATAGATATTGAGGCCTAGCTGTAAACCACAATGTGGCATCTGCCCCTTTAAGGGCGAACACAGAAGGAAAAGAAAACGCCAACTGCTCTTTTTTCCCTGCTTCCTTTTCCACAAAATGGGTGGGCATGGGGTCCTGTGCTGAATCACTTCTATCTTCTTTGCAGTCTTTCTTATCGAGGCATCATTCCATGTACTAGACTTTCTGCCATTGTCCTCTTTCCTTGGTGCTTCTGCAGTGCCTGCTGGAACGAACAAACTTTATTTTTAAAGGAGTCACAAAATTAGGCACGCAGGCCCGTCTTACATCCGTCCCTTCCAAAGACTCACCTTTCACACAGCAGTTGTATTTTCATCAATAAAGCATGTTATGTTCATATAATAATAATATGCATATTATAAAAATCAAGAAAAAAACACAAAAGCGTGGTTGGTAGAATGCTTGTGCACACTCACGCACGCACACAACAACATACACACGCCGACCCACTTACATAAGCACACACACACACACAATTACCTACATACATGCATGCATACATAAACACCACATTCACATGTGTACATACATTCACAGACACACAAACGCAGATGAGGAAAGAGGTCCTTTGTGTTGTTTAATGAACACTTAAACAATAAATATGTTCTGTATTGCGTGCACACACTCTGTGTGTGGGTTCTAGGTTCCCAATTTTTCATGGGTGGTTTGAACCACCGCCCTCCTCAACAAGCACGTTGTAAAAGGTGGCTGATTAGGAACTTGCAGAAATATGATGTGTTGGGCTGAAAGATGCAAGTATCTTAAGCTTAAAGGAATCACCCCACACACCTCCCCCCCCCCCCTTCCCCCCCCCCCCCCCCCCCCCCCCCCTACCTGTACCACAAAAGTAGCCAATACAGACAGTCATGGCACTTGGCTCATTTGGTCGGCATTCCCTTCTTAATTGGCTGTACAAGGGGCAGTCTTAACATGACATGTCCTGTGGGCTGTGCGCACAGCCCAAACACGGGCGCTGAGGTGAACCACTCACTTGCAGCCTGTGCACATGCTTGTTACGTTTGTTTTTCGGTCTCCTGAATCTGAGAATGATGAAATGTCATTTTGACACATGTGCCTGGTTGTGTGTGTCTGTTTCAGAGAGTTGTGTTCCTTGGACAGCCAGATTGTTCTCAACTTAAACACCAAACTGAAAGGGGTCTATTACAATGGCCAGGCTGTTTGCATTGCCATGTGCAACTTGGCACAGCAGCATGCAGATTTAGTAAGAGTCCATTTAGAATCTTTAATTACATATGGCTTATGAATTTAGTTTGACTTTATTCATTATCTTCTTCTTCTTCTTCTTCTGCCTTTTTATCCCCCAATGGAGCATAGGCCCTCAACCAACTCACGCCAAATCGTTCTATCCTTCGCCATTACATGGAGCTCTCCCCATGTCCTCCCAATCTTTCTAACCTCATTCTCCAGCTCTCTTCTCCATGTGTTTTTTGGCCTTCCTTTATTCCTATGCCCCTGTGGGTTCCAATGCAATGACATTCTAGTTATGCTGTTCTCCTGTTTTCTCAGTGTGTGCCCTATCCAACGCCAGCGTCTTTTCCTCACCTCCTGATCCACTGAAGCCTGTTTAGTTCTCTCCCAAAGTTCTACATTAGTTATTCTATCATACCATTTTATTGCCTCTATTCTGCGCAGGCACCAGTTAATGAATGTCTGTAATTTATTAATAATTGCCTTCGTTGTTCTCCATGTTTCCGCCCCATGCAATAGTACTGATTTGACATTAGAATTAAAAATTTTTAGTTTAGTATTTCTTTTAATTTCTTTTGACCTCCACAAATTCCCTAGTGCTATGAAAGTTTATTCATTATAGTAACGTTTAATTGTGATGATGATGTCCCATGTGCGATACGATCACCAGAATCACAGATCAGGTCTGTTCTTGTCCCACACCCGTATGTGTGGCCAAGCCATCCAAATAATGATCACTTTGTTTTCTCCTTGCTCATTTTCCATCCATCTTGCCATGCAATTGGCCAGCTGTTTATTTGCAAGATTCTTTTCCTTACATCAAATTATACATTCTTTGGATGTCAGATTTGTTTATTTTTATGTAAGTCCTCTTTTTGCTGTCATTTTAGCAGTTATTGCTTTTTCCAAGTGAAATGGTTTGCCCAGTGATGAATCTCATAACTGTCATCATTAGAAACCATCTCTCTCACCTCAGATATTGCCAGTGATGAATGTCACAACTGACATCATTAGAAACCATCTCTCTTACATCAGATATTGGCAATGATGAATCTCATAACTGACATCATTAGAAACCATCTCTCTCACATCAGATATTGGCAATGATGAATCTCATAACTGACATCATTAGAAACCATCTCTCTTACATCAGATATTGCCAGTGATAAATCTCATAACTGACATCATTAGAAACCATCTCTCTCACATCAGATGTTGCCAGTGCTGAATCTCATAACTGACATCATTAGAAACCATCTCTCTCACATCAGATATTGCCAATGATGAATCTCATAACTGACATCATTAGAAACCATCTCTCTCACATCAGATATTGCCAGTGATGAATCTCATAACTGACATCATTAGAAACCATCTCTCTCACATCAGATATTGCCAGTGATGAATCTCATAACTGACATCATTAGAAACCATCTCTCTCACATCAGATATTGCCAATGATGAATCTCATTACTGACATCATTAGAAACCATCTCTCTCACATCAGATATTGCCAATGATGAATCTCATAACTGACATCATTAGAAACCATCTCTCTTACATCAGATATTGCCAATGATGAATCTCATAACTGACATCATTAGAAACCATCTCTCTCACATCAGATATTGCCAATGATGAATCTCATTACTGACATCATTAGAAACCATCTCTCTCACATCAGATATTGCCAGTGATGAATCTCAAAACTGACATCATTAGAAACCATCTCTCTCACATCAGATATTGCCAATGACGAATCTCATAACTGACATCATTAGAAACCATCTCTCTCACATCAGATGTTGCCAATGACGAATCTCATAACTGACATCATTAGAAACCATCTCTCTCACATCAGATGTTGCCAATGATGAATCTCATAACTGACAACATTAGAAACCATCTCTCTCACATCAGATATTGCCAATGATGAATCTCATAACTGACATCATTAGAAACCATCTCTCTCACATCAGATATTGCCAATGATGAATCTCATTACTGACATCATTAGAAACCATCTCTCTCACATCAGATATTGCCAATGATGAATCTCATTACTGACATCATTAGAAACCATCTCTCTCACATCAGATATTGCCAATGATGAATCTCATTACTGACATCATTAGATACCATCTCTCTCACATCAGATATTGCCAGTGATGAATCTCATAACTGACATCATTAGAAACCATCTCTCTCACATCAGATGTTGCCAATGATGAATCTCATAACTGACATCATTAGAAACCATCTCTCTCACATCAGATATTGCCAGTGATGAATCTCATAACTGACATCATTAGAAACCCATCTCTCTCACATCAGATATGCACATTAGAAACCATCACATACAAATGCACATTAGAAACCATCACATACAAATGCACATTAGAAACCATCACAGACAAATGCACATTAGAAACCATCACATACAAATGCACATTAGAAACCATCACATACAAATGCACCTCTGCAGGGCGACTACACTGCAGCAGCGGAGATCTTCAACCAGGCCAAGCTGCGGTTCCCACAGAACACATCCCACGCTGAGTTGTGGCAGTCATGCCAGCAGAGGATACAGTTTGACCGGGCCATTTACAACAGGAGGCTCAATGAAGCCGAACAGATCCTGACCAATCTTCAGGCCGTTGATGAACTCGAGGCTAAAATACGGTAAAAAATGTTTAGACGGGGGAAAAAGGAACAAAAATATATGTCCTCTGTATTATTTGTGTGTGAAGAGGGGGGGGGGGGGGGGGGGGGGGGGGGGGTTAGGTTTTAATCCCCATCATATGAAACTTTAGTGGACACAGAATCCACTGCACAAAAGTCTAACATATGAAGCAAAGTACTCTCATGTTGTGTAGGTAATCAGATTCTCAGGTCTGCAGGCCGCCTGTTGCTGACTTCTCAAGACATAGCCTGTGATGAATGATAGGCTTATTAACTGGAAATGAGGTTAAACAGTCATTGTCATGATGTGACGATTCCTTGGGCGAGCCCAGAACCAGAGCACCATGTATTGGCTCTGCATTTATGGAAACCTTCCTAGATGGCGGGTTATGCTCCCTCTTTTGCCTCTGCCTTCTCTTGAGGGCTGACCAGCATTGTGTGGCAGCTCTGGACCAGTCTGGACCAGTCTGAAGGGAGGGGGGGGGGGGGGGGAAAACCACCTGTGAACTGGGAAACAAAGATGACCACACAGCATTTAGACTGCTGTGTCACACAGTACTAACCGGGAAGGCTAGCCCGTGCAACAAATGCCTGCAGAAGTCAGATGTGTCATCTAAAAGGTGCAAATATTGCAGTCAGGCTGTAAAAGGGCACAACACATTTACATCTTTGGATGAATGCAGAAGAAGAAGAATTAATATCAAGGTAGATTTTTTTAAAATTGAATTCCGGCTCAGCCCAGGCTTAAAATAGTAAAAAGACTGGTTCCCATATGAGATAGTGGTTCTTTCCTTGTCAGGATGGCAGCGAGCAGTTGTGTTCACTGGCTGTGATTTAACTTTCAGGTCGCAGTGTTCTGTTATGAACTGCTATATACTCAGTTCCAGTACACAGTACAGTGTGTTTTTCATGGATTGTATCATGGTTGTGCTGTGTCAAAGCAGGATGAAGACTGATTGAGGTCACAGCCTCGATGGACACCTCATGCTTTCAGTGTTTTGATTGTGGCAGTAGGCTATCCAGGAACACAGACCTGTAATCAGTAGGGGATTGAAACTATCTAAATAGCAGACGATTAAAAAAAATGTCCCTAGAAACGAATGTGTCAGCTATTTAATTTTTTTGGTGGTGAAGAATCGACGCATATAGTTTACTCATTGGCCATGTATGTTGCCGAGCTACGACAAATACCTTGATTTAGTTACACATGCGAAGAAACCTGGCTACTGTGTATAAAAAGGCCAATGCACCCACCTGATGAGTTAACAAATCATAATCACCCACATTTATCAGCAAAACACACAACGTTGGTGGTCATCAGTGCAAATCATATAGCCAGTAATTGAACCTGTCAGTATTGGTATTATGTTTGACTTTTTAAAAATTAGTAATGGTAAAATTATGACAGTTTATTCTGTTATCTTGTGTTAGGAAACCAATTCTGCTGCGGGAACAAGGCCAAGTCACTGATGCATTTGCCATTTTGGGCCAGCTTCTGGCAGAATGTGACAAGGAGAAGAAGACTTATTTTGCTGACTTTATGTGCAGGTGAGTTTGATTCTGTGTAATAGAATCAGATGAGGCTGCACAGTATCAAAATGTCAAGAGCAGGTGGCATTGTGTCTACTGTTCTAGCGTGTTATGGAGATTGTGTGACAGATAATTGAGTGAATGTATTTTTGTTTGCCATTGAATCATTGCCCGTTTGAGATGGCATGACAGATAATTGAATTTATATATGGTTGTCTATCATTGTATTATTGTCATGTGAGATTATATGATAGTATGCATTACCGGCACCTTATTTAAGGCCATCTTTTTCTCTTCAGGACTACTGAAATAGACACTTTTTAATTCATACAGGCACATTTTATTTGACACCTTGTAGTGAGTACTGACACCTTTATTCTAGAAAAAGCTCTTTCAGTAAGTCTGATTCATGTCTTCAGTTATCACATTTTTGCATCTGCAGAGTGTTACTGGAAATAGCACAACTGTACGTCGCTACTGGCAACCACAGTTCTGCCATCCCTTACATCACAGACTGCATAGCGCATGCAAAAAAGCATTATCTGCAGTTGTACGGGGCATTGGCCATTGTCTGTTTAGCTTTTATACAGGTAATTTATGTTTCCTCGTGTTTCTTGCTACATAAATGTCCAAATGTTGCACTGATGGCACCCATGGTTATATGGAGTTATAGAAACCTGATGGAAAGAGAGCAAGAGGAAGGCAAAGAGATAAATGCCTGGTAGTTTGGCTACATGAATGGGGGTGAGACAGGAACATTGATGTGATCAGTGATTCTGGTGGCCATGTAAAATGACTAAACATGACATCCTTCACTTACCAGCGTGGCACATGATGGTGGTGGGTGTCAAAACCTTAAATATATGTGGGAGTTTGTATTGTAACTGGCATCTCAGCATACATAGAACAGTTCATAGGGAGTGTTATTGAACAGTGCCTAGAGGTTGTCACCTAACGGTAACTAGAAATTATCATCGAATAATGCCTAGGCTGACTTTTTACCCCACTAGGACATCACACATTGGGATAAATACCCGGTGACACAAAATGCCACCATTCGGATGAGGATCACCTGTGGAGAGGTCCCAGAAAACCCCTTTCAACTGTCAGGTTATATTAGGGCCCCTGACAACAGCCATGGTGGGGCTTCAAAATAATGAAAAATTCGTCCCACATGGGGACGAGGATTTTTAAAGAACATAATAATGCCTAGAAAGTGGCATGCAGCAGTGCTTCTGTTTAAATGTCATCATTAATATCATAATGACTAATGTCAGGTTAGTCAAGCTGGAGGTTGGCATCAGTTTTATGTCACATACCAGTCATCGCCATGTGTCGTCCTGGTAAACATAGGTAATATGGTTTATAGTCTCATACACTCCCCCAGGTCTTGAATTTATCATAACACTCTTAACAATAGGTTGGCTATTAAAGTCGATAAAACACAAAAAATTGAAATATTTTGGTCACTTGAAATGTCACTAAAGTTTAAAGAATCATTAATGGATGGGGATATGCCTGGGAAGGGAGGACGAGGAAGGCCAAGGAGAAGATGGGTGCAGGATGTGGCGGAAGATCTCCAGATGGGTGTATGGACGCGGGACATCTTGCTTGTGATCGAGAAGTTTTCCAGAAGGTTGTTATGGGAGCAAGGCTCTGCAAAGGACATGCTACTGACTGACTGACTGACTGACTGACTCTCAACAAAAGTCTATGTTTGGGAGCAGCTTACACCCTTTTTATGGATCTCATAATGGGAGAGAAAAAAGAATAGACTCGCTGCCTTCCTTACAGACATGTCACAGGAGGCGACTAACTAGGGGCATTTCCTTCATAGTCCGAGAGCATTTGCCTGAGAAGTGAGGAACAAAAAGTCTGCATACAAATAAGTCAGATCTGTAAAACGAATGTGCACCCAAAGTTCTCACATGTTAAAACAATTTATTGATTGCTTTGTACTGCTGCAGGTTTACTAAACCATCCTGAGATTAAAAAATAGATTATAATTAGGGCCCCCCATTGTGGGTTCTGGGGACCCGTTGTGGGGGAAACAAGAATAGACCCACTGCCTCCTCAAAAAGCATATTGTAAGAGTTGACTAATTGGGAGCTTGCTTCAAAGTTGAAATGCTTCTGCCTGAGAGGCAAGGAACCAACAGTCTGCATACAATTGAGCTAGATCTGTAAAACAGATGTGCATGCAACGTTCAGGTTCTGGAACATGAGTAGAGTTCAGAGGTGGACGAATAGTCAGAACTTTCCACTGGAGTTTACAGCTGGTAAACACAAAGAAGAAGAAGAGATCATAAGGCCAACCGGAACTACTTCACCAGCCAGATGTAACCTCCAGTCTCAAGCAGGTAAGGATGTAACAGTCAAACAACAACAAAAATAGATGTGCATATAACACTTAGGTCCTGAAACAACACCAAAGTTTATACACAGATGACCAACCAGAACTGTCCGTCGGAGTTCACAACCAGTGAACACAAAGAGAAGAAGCAGAAGAAGAAGTATACCTGACAGCATCTGCTTTAAATACTCTTTTGTGACTAGATCTTCTCTCTTCCCACGTATATAGTTTCTCACAATGTTGATGATTTCTACAACAGCTGCACATGAACCTACCAGAGCAAGCCACAAGACTGATCGAATCTCAACTGACCCGCATTCTGACCAATGCGACTGCCTACGACAAAGCCAGGGTGTTGTATGTGTATGCAAAATGTAAAGTTGCCGCAGCGAAGACATCAAATGCCACTTTAGCCAGCGTCAAAACAGGTCTGTATCATAAGAAGAGTAAAGTAAAAGACCCCTTTCATTGCCTTCTTGCGTATTGGGCAAATAGATGCTAGACGTATATTTGATAGACTGATCGGCACTCACTGGGTGAAGTGTTCAACATCATGCCTGCCACCTTTACTTCCCACGATCATAAGAATAAGACACAAAATGTTTTATCTTAATCAGATGTCTTGTCTGTTGACATAAGAATTTATTTCTCTCAGCCCTCGCTGTCAGATAAATTGGTCTTCTGCTTTCGCCCTTGAAAAGGGCGGTTGTTACATTGTGTTTGTAGTATACAGCTAGGCTGCAATATATGTGCCTTTCCGCTCACCACATCCCATTTCAGCGAATCCTAAATTAGTCACCTTTGAGGGGTCAGGATACACCCCCTCCCCTCTCCCCTCTCCCATCCAAAAAATTTCTTTAAAGATGCTCAGACTAAATTTAAAAATATATATAACAAAACACTTTGCTTTGTGGATACAAATGAAGACTAGCTCAAAAGGGGATATGGCTGATGGTCAACACTCAAGGAAAAGGCGAGACGGATATACACAATCAGTTACTGGGGCCTTCAGAATTGGAACTCTTCACTTGCTGCTGAAGATGGGGATGGAGTGCTTGTGGGAGTGTCCCGAGTGTTATGATGTCGATTCGTAATTCAACATTCAACAAAAGTTTTACCAGACCAACAAAAGTGATGAAAATTGGGGTGACTGCAGTAGAGCTAACATATGGGAATTCACCAAACAGAAACTAGTGAAATCTCCCCTCCCAGTTTGAGATTCCTTGTGTCCTAGTTTATCTCCCCTCACAGTTGAGATTCCTTGTGTCCTAGTTTATCTCCCCTCACAGTTGAGATTCCTTCTGTCCTAGTTTATCTCCCCTCACAGTTGAGATTCCTTCTGTCCTAGTTTATCTCCCCTCCCAGTTTGAGATTCCTTCTGTCCTAGTTTATTAACAGTAAATAACTAGTGATATCTCCCCTCCCAGTTGAGATTCCTTCTGTCCTAGTTTATTAACAGTAAATAACTAGTGATATCTCCCCTCCCAGTTGAGATTCCTTGTGTCCTAGTTTATTAACAGTAAATAACTAGTGATATCTCCCCTCCCAGTTTGAGATTCCTTGTGGCCTAGTTTATCTCCCCTCACAGTTGAGATTCCTTGTGGCCTAGTTTATTAACAGTAAATAACTAGTGATATCTCCCCTCCCAGTTTGAGATTCCTTGTGTCCTAGTTTATTAACAGTAAATAACTAGTGATATCTCCCCTCCCAGTTTGAGATTCCTTCTGTCCTAGTTTATTAACAGTAAATAACTAGTGATATCTGCCCTCCCAGTTTGAGATTCCTTCTGTCCTAGTTTATTAACAGTAAATAACTAGTGATATCTCCCCTCCCAGTTTGAGATTCCTTCTGTCCTAGTTTATTAACAGTAAATAACTAGTGATATCTCCCCTCCCAGTTTGAGATTCCTTGTGTCCTAGTTTATCTCCCCTCCCAGTTTGAGATTCCTTGTGGCCTAGTTTATCTCCCCTCCCAGTTTGAGATTCCTTGTGTCCTAGTATATTAACAGTAAATAACTAGTGATATCTCCCCTCCCAGTTGAGATTCCTTGTGGCCTAGTTTATCTCCCCTCCCAGTTGAGATTCCTTGTGGCCTAGTTTATTAACAGTAAATAACTAGTGATATCTCCCCTCCCAGTTGAGATTCCTTGTGGCCTAGTTTATCTCCCCTCACAGTTGAGATTCCTTGTGGCCTAGTTTATCTCCCCTCACAGTTGAGATTCCTTGTGTCCTAGTTTATCTCCCCTCACAGTTGAGATTCCTTGTGTCCTAGTTTATCTCCCCTCCCAGTTTGAGATTCCTTGTGTCCTAGTATATTAACAGTAAATAACTAGTGATATCTCCCCTCCCAGTTTGAGATTCCTTGTGTCCTAGTTTATTAACAGTAAATAACTAGTGATATCTCCCCTCCCAGTTTGAGATTCCTTGTGTCCTAGTATATTAACAGTAAATAACTAGTGATATCTCCCCTCCCAGTTTGAGATTCCTTGTGTCCTAGTATATTAACAGTAAATAACTAGTGATATCTCCCCTCCCAGTTTGAGATTCCTTGTGGCCTAGTTTATTAACAGTAAATAACTAGTGATATCTCCCCTCCCAGTTTGAGATTCCTTGTGTCCTAGTATATTAACAGTAAATAACTAGTGATATCTCCCCTCCCAGTTGAGATTCCTTGTGTCCTAGTATATTAACAGTAAATAACTAGTGATATCTCCCCTCCCAGTTTGAGATTCCTTGTGGCCTAGTTTATTAACAGTAAATAACTAGTGATATCTCCCCTCCCAGTTTGAGATTCCTTCTGTCCTAGTTTATTAACAGTAAATAACTAGTGATATCTCCCCTCCCAGTTTGAGATTCCTTCTGTCCTAGTTTATTAACAGTAAATAACTAGTGATATCTCCCCTCCCAGTTTGAGATTCCTTCTGTCCTAGTTTATTAACAGTAAATAACTAGTGATATCTCCCCTCCCAGTTTGAGATTCCTTGTGGCCTAGTTTATTTCCCCTCCCAGTTTGAGATTCCTTGTGGCCTAGTTTATCTCCCCTCCCAGTTTGAGATTCCTTGTGGCCTAGTTTATTTCCCCTCCCAGTTTGAGATTCCTTGTGGCCTAGTTTATTTCCCCTCCCAGTTTGAGATTCCTTGTGGCCTAGTTTATCTCCCCTCACAGTTTGAGATTCCTTGTGGCCTAGTTTATTTCCCCTCACAGTTGAGATTCCTTGTGGCCTAGTTTATTTCCCCTCCCAGTTTGAGATTCCTTGTGGCCTAGTTTATTTCCCCTCCCAGTTTGAGATTCCTTGTGGCCTAGTTTATCTCCCCTCCCAGTTGAGATTCCTTGTGTCCAAGTTTATTAACAGTAAATCCATTTATCTCAGCAAATTATACCTAATGTGTCACTTGAATCAAACTTGTTAAATTAAGCTATTACATTTTTTGCGGCGTCCGTGGCTTAGGTGTTGCGAGTCCGACTCGTAAACCAACGTACCGCGATCGAAACCCACTGCTGGCTGCATGGATTTTTATCGTAATATGGGGCGTCGCAGGTCGACCCATCCTAAAATGGGTACCGGGATGGCTGTCCTGAGGAAGTAAAGACGGCCAGCGTAATGCTGACCACATTACCCGCCTGGTACCGATTGGTCTGAAAAAATATGGAACGCTCTGCCCATATGCCTGATGCGCCTTAGGCGTGAAAAGGGATCTTTACTTTTTTTTTTTTTAATTAAATTTTTTCAGAAATGATTTCAGCATTGGAGGTCCTCTCTACAGCCACTAGTCTGTTTAAGGCAGTCGAGGCCCACATCCGGGAGAAAGACGCCATTTACTTCCAGGCGGTTCTCTACCATGACTTGAACAACACTGAAGACAGAAACCGATGTGCTCATCAGTTCAAGACTTTGGATAAGTTGTACCCAACATTGAGTTCTCTTAGTTTGAATGTTGTATGATTTTTCTTTATCTTCTTGCTTTTTTTTTCTTGATTCTTCTTCTTTTCATCCTTCTTCTTTTCATCCTTCTTCTTTTTCTTCTTCTTGCTTCTTTTTCTTCTTACTGCTGCTGCTTCTTCTTCTTCTTGCTTCTTCTTCTCCTCACAGTCAGTTAGGTACCACTCAGTGAAAAATGAACTTATTTCCTTCATTCATTAGTTCTTCTTCTCCTTCTTCTTCTTCACCTTTTTTTTTTTTCTTGTTCGGATTCTTCTCTTCACAATCAGTCAGTCAGTTGCCACAGTGAAAGATAATATGTTTGTTTCTTTCTCCATTATTTCATTCTTTCATTCTTCTTCTGCTTCTGCCTCTTTTTCTTCTTCTTCTGCTGCTGCTGCTTCTTCTTCTTCTTCTTCTTTTTTTCTGCTTCTGCATCTGCCTCTTCTTCTTCTTCTGCTTCTTCTTCTTCTCCCACTCCTCCTCCTCCTTCTTCTTCTTCTTCTCCTTGTTTTTCAGTATCTACCTTTTGCCCTGCACTGGAGTGTAGGCCCTCAACCAACTCATAAACCTGTTATATTGTTTGTCATCTCATTGACCAGCTACTTATATGTCCTCCCCACACTTTACATCTCTGTTTCTGTCTTCTCCTTTTGTGTTTTGATCTACCTTTTTTTTCTTTAGAAAGATTGGGAGGACATGGGAAGAGCTCCATGCAATGGCGAAGGATAGAACTACTTGGCGTGAGTTGGTTGAGGGCCTATGCTCCATTGGGGGACAGAAAGGCAGAAAAAAAAGATATAAACAGTATATCTGAAGGTCTTGAAATGGACCCTTTCCTTCTTTGTAAAAAAAAAAAAAATTTTTAATCTGGGTGTATATAAGCATATATATGTTTAGTCAATATTTTGTTTGTGCTCCAAGTGATTTTGTTTAATGTTATGTAAGCTGAATATAAATAACACAGTACACGATGAATTATTGAATGTAGCATGGGTCTGTATGCCTAGTGTATGATTCTTTGTAAATAAAGTTTGTTTGTATATTCATGTGCTTTTGTCAGTGGTGTGTGATCAGTGGTTACTACTGATTTGTTGATTGATACTGATTTGTTGATTGATACTGATTTGTTGATTGATACATGACAAGGCAGATGTGGTCAAGGCCCTTTGGGAACAAGCAACGGAGTTATAAGTGAAACAAGATTATTATGGCCTGGAAATAATGAGGCACCTGGGTGTAACCAGAGGGTCTGGCCGGCTCACTACACTCAGAGGAAAGACAAGACGGACATATAACCAGATTGTGACCAGTACCATCAGTATTGGAACTCTGTGCTGGCTGCTGAAGATGGGGATGAAGCACACTTGGGAATGCCCCGAGTTCTGTGATGTCAATTCTTTTGACTCAACTCAACTCATACTGATTTGTTGTAACTGCTGCTTCCCATGGACAGTAAACTGCATTTCTAGTGTTGGACTGTTTGTTTCGGCACTTCTGACAGCTGCCTTATGCATTTAGTGCATGTGTGTGTTGTTTGAAGACCAAAAGACGATTGATAAACACCATCTTCATTCCAACACTCTGCTACCAGTGCCAGACATGGACAATCAACAAGACCCATGAAAGAAAAATAGAAGCCTGTGAATGAAATGTCTAAGAAAAGCAGCGAATAAGACCAGACTAGACAGGATAAAGAACATAGACATTAGAAACACTGTCAAAACTACACCATGTTTAGACTACATAGAACATCAAAGAATGAAATGGTTTGGACATCTAACCAGGATGAAAAATGACCAAATAACATCACAAATTTTCAACCAAAGAAACTCAGGATATAAGGCAAGAGGAAGACCAAGGAAACGGTGGATTGACGGGGTCTCCGAAACCTGCCAAAAGCATGGCCTCAGAACATCAGATGCTGCCCGCCTTGCTTATGACAGGAACTTGCATCTCCCCACAACGCTTAGCGGCATACGTGGAAGGAAAAAGTAAGTAAAGTAAGTGTGTTGTTGGCTTTGCTGAGACTGTAGTCCTTGTCATTTTTCTCCCACAAGTAACAGTGATGAACATTGTGTATGGTGTTCATTGGCACAGTTAAATGTCTAGAAAGTACTTTCTTGTAGGAACCAATAATAGATCTGGAATTCGAAACAAAATACCAACGAACCAGTGCACTTATATACCAATTGACACCGTTATTAAGACATCCAAACATAAGAATGAGCACCAAGAAACAGATGATAAACAGTATTTTCATACCAACACAGTGCTACCAGTGCCAGACTTGGACGTTATCAAAGTCTAGTCTACGTAAAATTAACACTTGTGAAATTAGATGCCTGAGAAAAGCTACCAACTTAACCATCCAAGACAAAGTTAGAAATTATCAGACAGACTGTAGGATCAACACCATACAGCAGATTCATTGAGAAACAGCAGACCAAATGGTTTAGTCATTTAGTAAGGATGCAACCAGAACAACTACCATCACAGGTGCTACACATGACAAAATCTGCTATGACAGCAAGAGGTGGCCATAGGAAAATATGGATTGATGACATTTTAGAGCTTCTGCATCAACACGGAATGACAATAGGCATTGTTACCCATCAAGAAATGGATTGCAAATTGTTCCTCCCCACAATGCAGAAGTGGAAATTGATGGTAATGGCGTGATTACTATCACAAATAAAAATTAAAAATTTTATAAGTGTCAAAAGTCAAGTACGTGGTACCCATGTTAGGATGGATTTACCTCGGAGCCAAAGTCTTCTTCTTCAACATTCCGAGCCCTTGAGGTTCATTGCTGCAGATATCACCCGCCTCCATTCATCTCTCTTGTTGGTCATCTTCTTCAACATTTCGACCCCTTAAGGTTCATTGCTGCAGATATCACCCGCCTCCATTCATCTCTCTGGTTGGTCATCTTCTTCAGCATTCTGAGCCCTTGAAGTTCATTGCTGCAGATATCACCCGCCTCCACTCATCTCTCTGGTTGATCCTCTCTTTCAAGTTGGTGACACCAAGTGTTTGAAGTCTGTCTTGACATTATCTCTCCATCGTCTGCTTGGTCTGCCTGCCTCGTGGTCTAGGACCAATTAGTTCCCTTGTGTACAGTTTTTACCTCTCCGTCATCTGACATTCTCACTGTATGCCCGCGCCATTTCAGTCTATTAGCCCTCATGATGCTAGTAATTTAAATAGATTATCAATTTTGCTGTTGCTTCTCACTGTCCATTCCCTGCTGTTTGCATCCATGATGGATCCAAAGATTTGTCATAAGACTGTATTCAAAAATTTGTAAAAAGGCCAAAGCTAGTTTTGAAAAAAAAAATTATGTACGTAATTAATGCCCATAAGTTAGTTTTATAAATTATTATTATTATTCTTATTTTAATTTCTTTTCATATTTTATTTAGATTAGGAAAGACACTCTCATCTCGAAACAGAACAGTTCTTCTTCTTCTTTGAGTTCACCGGCTGAAAACTTAGGTGAAAAGTCCGGGGCTGTTCATCCATCTATGGACTTTACTCCTGTTCCACATCCATTTTACAGATCTCCCTGTGTATGCATACTGTTAGTTCCTCTCAGGCAGATGCTCTCCGACTTCAAAGGAAGCCCCCAGTTAGTGACTCCTGTGTCATGCTTGTTGTGGATTCAGTGGGTCTGTTCTTGTTTTCACTACAATCTGGCACAGGAAGCCACACAGGGAATACTGAACAATGAACTTGAGGTTCTTTAGATTGTGTTATCTTTGTGTTGGTACGATTTGACAGCAACATTCTGCAATCCAGAGTCATATAGCTGTTATCCATCAATATCAGAGCAGTAAAATTCACATAAACTTTCACACTTCTACTTTAATTCCTTGTCCAAACAATAATAAGTCCATCAGCATCGAGAAGGAACCCAAACTTGTGAAATGCAAATGAGTATACATTTCAGCCATATCAATATGAAGGCAGTTTAGTTTTACATTCATGACCCTATAGATTTCCTTGTTCTCCATTAACCCAAGCATTTAATGAGTTCTCACCATCCATTTGTTTCTTTTTTCTCAGACACTTTTCAAATTCAACACCCCTTTCTTCGCAGTGATAAAGTCCTTTTTGTAATTATTCACTGACCCACACTACTCGTTTCTAATCAAAATGATCTTGAAGAGCTTTCAGATCCAGGGAGCGTCATGAAAATTCATGATACACAGTCAGTGCAGAAGAGTATCTTGTCTCAAAATTCTGGCAGTACCAGAAAAATCCAAAACTCAACATGCAGTTGTACAGCTGCGTTGTCTCACTGTTTGTTTCATTGATCTCATTTGTATCGTCTGTCGTGTTCTGGAGCAAAGGACCCTTTTCCATGCCTTTCTAGCGTATTGGATATTTGGCCTAGACTTTATAGACCAAACAGCACTTGATCACGCCGGCTGCGTTTACTTCCCAGGACTGTACCTGGTACCCTCTCAAGGCTGGGAGCCAAGGTCATTTTTGAAAAACAAAATCTGGCCCTCGTCAGGAACGCAACCCATGACCTTCCAATCCGCAGCCGAGCGTCTAACCACTAGACCACGGCGGCTACTCATTTCCTGGAGGATATGCAGTGTTTTCAAGGAGCTTGTTGACAGTTTACAGCATCTGTCCTTGAACTCCACCTAGTTTTAGACTCTAATCCTGTTTTTCCTCACTCATTCTTTGTCAGACACCACTTCTGTATCCAGCCATTACACCAGCGTTGTCATAGCACTGTGGTCGTCAGTCTTCTAGTTCCATTTCATCTTTCTTTAGGACAGCGATTCTTAGCCTGTTGGTCGAGCTCCCTTGGATGGGTCGAACGATCCTTTCACAGGGGTCTCCTAAGACCATTGGAAAACACATATTCACTGAAATTATGAAGAGGCAACGAACATATTTTGTATGGTTGGGGGGTCACCACAACATGCGGAACTGTATTAACCATCTCTCTAGCTGGTTTAAGATGTCTTAAACCAAGCTGTTAGCATCCTTCTGGCTTATCTAGA